TCGCAGTTGGCCGCATCATTTCAAGTTAAATTTAAAACACAAACAAGTGCCGGAGTTAAACTTCACTGAAACTTTTCGAAAAAAAAGTTTCCCATATGGTGCGCACTTTGATGGTGACACTGTATATCGTAATCAAATGCGGTAGAAAATTTTTCCGGAATTCTTCTCGCGGCAGCAATATCGTACATTCGTGCGCTCTTAGCTACGTCACAATTGGTTTATGGCTACCTGTGGCGGCTGGCGTTATTTTCTTCAGGGCATGATTTACAACAATAATTTTACACAATAATTCAGCTGAACATGTTTGCACAAAACTTATCGAAGACATGTTTATAATGTGAAGGTCACTTGAAGGTTCAAATTCGTCGCGAAATTCTAGTATTATGACCTACCTATCCATCAAGAACCTCAGTGCTACAATGGGTGAGGTGTTGGGCGTTCTTTGTATACTTTGTGTACTCTTACAGTACGGTTCTTTTATACAGGTTTTTTTTGAGTATGTTTTCCCAGTACTCTCTATGTTTCTCATAGAACAACTTTTCAATCTGGTTCTGTACCAAATAATTCGGAACCTGATTCTTGGCACAGAATTTATCAATTTATTTTTGTACGCCAGTTATCTCAGTTCTCCAAAACATGTCCAGATCAGACACGATGTCAACTTTGGGTTCAACAGTGCCACAAATGCAACCTGACTGTCTCTGAAAATATTATTCCTTGCTCATTGTAAGACTGCATACACACTTGGAAGACTGATGTGAACTGACCGAGTGGGTAACTGAAGTGAATATTTCTCCCCGCACAATAAATTCCAGCACCCGTCCCATGTTTGATTTTCAACCCGTCCGTATACCAGGTGTCTCTGCCGATGATGTTTCAGGATGACTGTACATTCTTCACTCTTCGTTGTTCAACACTTTAACTGCGAAGTTTATGTCGAACACGTAATTTGATGTCATGTGGTAAAAAGAACATATGTGACATTCGTTCCTCCACTTATTCCAAAATTTTTATTTTGCCCATTCTTAAGTGAGCTATCCAGTATGAATTGGCTCACCCTTGTTTTCTCCATCATCACTAGATGTACAAGGAGGAGATGCTGGAGTGGTTTACATTGGGCCCGTTATTCCCAAACATATGCAAGTCTTTGTTCTATTCTCAGTTTGTTAATAGCGGTTGTTTACTTCATCTTCAGTCACCAGTCCTTGAATGCATATACTATCATGGTATAGAGCCATGAAGTCATGTCTGGTTAGGTATCCATAGATGCGTCTGTGCTACCTCCGCCTTCTTTCAAAGTCTTTCTAGAGGTTGGCTCCAGGTCGGCCCAGGATCTAGTAGGGGAGGGGAGATTTTTAACCAGTTTGTATCTAAAAGTTATTTCTGCAAGATCTACACATCTTGGTGAATAGTTAATTTTGAAATTGCTTTTTTTCTTTCTCTAGAAATATTCTTACATTTTTCTTATGAAGATGAAGTCCAAAAATTAAGTTCCCTCAAAATATACCCTATTTAATTCGAAAAATAAATGTTTTCTTCGGGAAAAAGTCACCTTCCACCGTATGTGGCATGGTGGTTTGCTGACCAAACTCCGATGCTATGTTTCCTGCAAGTGTCCGTCGATGGACATCTCTCGAATACTTTCACCATAAACGCTGGTATTCCCCAAGGACCCATATTGTCTACAACCCTCTTTTTATTGTATATCAACGACTTATTGGAAAAAGACAAGAATCCAATATATTGCTCAGCTGACAAAAGCACACTTTTCTCATCATTCCATTTGGATTCCAGGACATCGGCTGCGGATGCACATCTTCACCGGCAGCAGGAGGTTGCATATCTTAATGAGGATCTATAGGTGGAAGGAAAGTGACCGGGTTCAATTCAGTGCTACGAAAACCCATGCATCGGTTTCCTCTATAAAGACAAATCCGCTTTCTGCTTCGATAAGTTTGTTGTGGATTAAAATGGATACCAATTTGTCTTGGCATAATAATCATGTCGCTGGAATTGCAAGAAGATATTTTGATCCTGACTTTCATGCTTTTTTCACAAGATGTTGTGTTGAAGGCATGGCTGAGCTCGATCCTACATTGTGGAAGTCCAAAACGAAGTTTCAAGTTTTTTTCTTTTGTCAACTACATAAAGAATAGAAAATATGTTCAACTTTTGTTGGGGATCAATTTAGATGTTGGACTACGTTAATTATTCAACGAACGAGGTATAAAGAGAAACCAGAAGAACGGAAATGAAAATACACAATCGTGGAACAATGTTTCCCAATTATAACTTTGAGTAATAAATTCACGAATCCATTTCAATTCATTAATAATTGAAATTTCAACGTTCATTTACTGTTCGGAATAATACAGAAGTCGTTTGTTGAAGTGTATAAAATGGTTAAACCTTGAATATAATAGCAAATATACTGCGAATATGAGGTGTTTATTATGAAAACAAGTGGATTCAGTATTTGATACAATTGACAGGTCGAATACTCACAGGGATGAGAGGAAAAAAATCCTATAGTTGTGGAGATTGCAAACTTTTTAGTTCACTCCAATGAGTTACAGCGAGAATACAAATTATATTTCATAAAGAAAATTATACTATGAGATCAGAAAAAAAAATTATATTCTTTTCAGTTTAGTTTTCGATGAAATAGTGGACTGAAAAAGACTACTGGTATGAAAATTGTCTTTTTTGAGGTGTTTATGAAGGAAAACGTTAGATACGTGAATGTAAAAAATCGACAACAATGAGAAAATGATAGAATTACTTACGAAAAGTAAAATATTCGAATAATATCTAGGTTGTGTTTGTTGAATTATATACGGAGTATCAAACAAAATCTTTTCATTCTCACAGAAAAACTAGAAAATTTCTATTCATATGGACTATGTTTGATTATTGATTGATTTGATTGTTGATAGTTAATAGTCAAGACTTATGTCATTTTCTGATTACTCAACTACCAATGTTGTCTGATGTTGTCAGATTTAAGGGTGGAAAAACTTGAATAATGGTGCTACTGGAGACAAAAATCATTCAGAGATAGGTAGACGTTACAAGCAAAGGCTTAGACTCCTACTCCGCATGGGAGTCTCTTAGATCAAATTTCGATTCGAAACTAGCAAAACCATTCTCACAAATCAAATCCAGTGTCATGACTGGAACTATATTCGTGAAATTTCTGAGTAATGTCCTGGCAATAAATATTGTTTCCAATTTTTTATTTATTCCTTGCAAAGGTGAGACTACATCAAATATCAAAACTTTGAGTGTCACTATCTTTATTCATGTTTGAAAACTGTCGATTTCTGGAATTTCTTCCTGACGTTTCGCTGGCGTGAGTGGCTAGCTTCTGATACATCTTGAGTTTATCTCCGATGGCTTCGTAAAGCGTATTTATGTCGATTCAGGTAGTTTGGTGTGGTAATACCTGTACCTGCTGTGTATGTGGATTTCTATTACTCATGGAGCAAATGTCTGGTGGCCGAAGGCTTTACAGAAAACGGTCCAGATGAGGATCCCTAGTTTACAGAGACAGGCTTGTGTGCCCATCTGTGGTGCCATCATTATCACAACGTCAGCAGCCATGGATATCTTTCTAGATCTATCTCGTCTCCACATTTTTCTGGAAGCAGAGGCTATATGGACTATATACATACTTGTTCACATCGCCAAGTGCCCTAATCAATCTAATACAGAGTACAATAAACTGCTGATTGACACTAGAAGTCACAGCATTCTGGAAATGACCTCTGACATTATGCCTCTAACTGGCAACTACGAACCGCCTTATGAAGTTCCGAGTAGAGAGGACTGGATTCTCCAGGAGAAGGAAATATTGAAAGGAGATGTTGGGTCACAAATGAATAAAAAAGACCTTCAGGTTCTGGTGCCGGTGTAATCAAGCGGAAAGCTCTTGGCACCTACCGAGCAACATCTAAATTGGTAGCAACTTGCTCAAAACGACTTTCCTCAACAGAAAGACTCAACAAATTGTCTCTGGTCTGGATTCCTGACCATACTGACCTGGAAGGTAATGAGGCTGCTGAAATCCCTTGCAGAAGAGGGTTCTTCAAGCAGGTCATTGGCATCGTTTTAGGCTTTGCCGAACAAACATTGAATACTTATGATGCACTGTTTGGAACCTTTGGTGTAGTAATAAATATTACTGGAGTTTTTTCCCAACACCAAATCGTTATTTTTAACACCTCGACACGTGTTTCGATCACCAAGTGATCATCTTCAAAGAGGAAGATTAAACCTCTTTGAAGATGATCACTTGGTGATCGAAACACGTGTCGAGGTGTTAAAAATAACGATTTGAAGATGATCACTTGGTGATCGAAACACGTGTCGAGGTATTAAAAATAACGATTTGGTGCTGTGAAAAAATTTCATTAGTATTCAAACATTGAATACCTGAATGGCAAGAAGATTTATGGAGTTCTGACAAATTCTTCCAGGATTGGAAGCTTGAAACCAAACAGTTATTGGACTACAGTAGGGATGAACTACGACTGACTGAAAGATCACTCACCATATAAACTAATCGGCTTCGAATTAAGTAACTAGAAAAAAGGAATGAAAAAAGTGGCACCCTTGGCGTAGACCAGTTGCTTCACATTTAGAATGTTTCCATAATTTCCGAAACAATGCAATCAAGAAGACAAATGTCTGAAAGTATCGGGCTTTGGATATATTTGGATACAGAGGTTTCTGGTCAAGATGAATGAATAGATTTTTACAAAATCTGAAAACATACACCTGTCGAAAATACATATTTTTGAAAATATCTGACCAACAGTCACCTTGTATAATGAACAACGTCATTTTCAAAAACAAATTCTGAAACAATAAACGCTTGTTTACCATTGTCGACCTCTAAAAGCGTTAATTTCCATTGTTCATTTCCTAGACTGATTTTGATGAAAACGTCATCAATGTCCTCAGATATTCGTAATTGTGTTCTAAATGAAAAGCAAATATTTTGGTATGATCGTAAATATATATTCGAATATCTTCCACCTTGGATTTAGTTAAAGTTGCCCTACCAATTCAAATATGCTGAGTGGAAGTGCATTTCTAGCAGCGAGCGTGAGTAATTTTTATTCGATATGGGAAGCTAAGATAAGAAGTTGTAATTGAGTTTCTTCTCAAGTAGGTCGCATAAGTTGAAGGTACTTTGACGTGATTACCGTAATGTTTCCAGAAATAAGTTTTTATACAGTTTGTCGTGTGCAAGCCTATATTTATTATTTTTTGGGTAGATCTCAGAACGGCGAATGAAAAATATCGATTATCAATTATTTACTATGAAAATTATATTTATTCATCAGAAACTTCATGAAAAAACTTATTAATATAGTTTATTGTATGATTTTCACTATGAATGGTTTAACAAAAACCGCGACACGTGTTTCGCTATGCAATAGCTTCCTCAAGCGAAAAATAATATTTTCAGCCATTCATTTCAATTTTTAATTCAATTTGTACTTTCCGAGATTTCAAATCATATTATACCATATTAGACAATGGAAGTTCGAACTAGTAAAATTCAAACTAGTTTTTGTTTCCACCTCTATATTCTGAAGAATATCAGGTGTAAGTAGCCTACAACACCTAGTTATTTTTTTCCCAAATTGTCTAAAGTTTTGTAAACTTTCGATTCCAAATATCCCCATGAAAAACGTCCACTAGAGTCAAATTGGGTGATTTAGGTGGCCATTCTGAAGAACCCCTCCTTTTAATCTATCGACCTCGAAAGTTATCATCGAGGAACAGTCGCACTGGTATTAGCAATGGGGAGGAGCCTTATCTTGTTGAAAAACTACCCCATTTCACAATAGACGATTTAACCAGCGTTGTTAATACTGACCTTTTAGATTTACTTTCAAAAAGAATGGTCCTTCAATATGGCCACCTAAAAGACAAACTTTGATTTTTCTGATCAAACATTCAGTTTTCGAAGATACTTGGTGTCAATTTGCCGTTCCATATTGGAATTTGAGTTACTTCAGTATCGGAAATTTTGACGGTTTATCACAACAAAGCTGAATTACCAGTGACCCGTTCTGAAAGGATCTCACAAAATTCAATCATTGTGTCGAAATCATCTTAGTTCAATTCATTAATCATTCTTTCTGAAATCGTAACGATACAATTTGTGTTGATGTAGAAGTCTGAAAACGTTTGTACGACTCACTGCTGATGTTTGCAACAACTTAGTCAAAAACTGAACATTGTCTATCAAGGCAACGTAGCTCAGAACTGTGTAGGACTGACTATTCCTGAACGATTGTATTGATATTTTCTTACATTTTCAGTCTCCATGAATTTATTCAACAATTGCAATGCATATTAACGTCTTAAATCTCTGTTCGAGTGATTCTCTTGTTAACACGATCAGTGGCCCTTGCAGATACTCCATGTTCGTTATACAAACCCACTAAACATATCCGCTCTTGAAGTAAATAATGACTCGAATTCACAAATGCCAGAAATAAAAAATTTTTATAATGCAACTAAGCTGACAATCACTCTATTTCAGAATATTTTCAACACAATTATCAATTATTTCAGCAGTCACTGGATGATGAAGTTCAGGATCATATTATGTAGGTACTTATTTTTTATTTAGTTTCATAGGAATACAAACGGGACGAATCCAAAGACAGTATTCGCATATAATTTATAAATGCTATTCTGAGGAAAAAATAGATAATGCAAGCAGTGGTGAAAGAACGCCACAAATTACACATCCGAATTAGGTAGGGAGAAAACAGGTTTCTTTAGTTTCAACACAACGGTGGTCGAGGAATTTGAAAATATATGGATGTCTATAATATTTGAAATATAGTGATATCGGTCAATCAATTCAGAATTTTGAAGATAAATCTGATGCCCGTAATACCTCTTCTTTCAGCAAGACTGATTAGGTTCAATTATCGACAAAGGTAATCACGGTTATTTGGTGAGTTTCTAAAATATTTTTTGTTGAAGTAATTTATGAACATATTTTGAATGGTTTCGATTTGTTACATGTATATATAGAGTGGTCCAACGAAAAGTATTATGAAGAAAAACAACTACAACTCAGTACTTTGAAATGTGTAATTGACTTAGTAGAATCCTACTTCAGCAAGTGCTGAAAATGTGAGCCATTTGCTTCCATACAATAATCCTAACATTCCTAACATTCTGTAGCATATCAGGTGTTATACTTCTGCACTCTGCTGTAATTCGTTGGCGAAGATCTTCTATGGACTCGGGCTGCGTAGCAAAATATTTATTTTTCAAGTGTTCCCAAAGGAAAAAGTTTAAAGGCGATAAATCAGGTGACCTGGCAGGCCATTCGATGGGGCCTCTCCTTCCAATCCACCGTCCAGGAAACCGGTCATATAAAAACTTTCATACCGGAGCAACATAATGAGGAGGTGCTCCATCTTGCTGGAAATGAAGCCGTTCATCATTATGATTTTGGTAATTTTCAATTATTTACATAATTACATTACAGTAATCACGTCAAAGTACCTTCAACTTATGCGACCTACTTGAGAGGATCAATTGTATCTTCAAGAATGTTCAGGTAGACCCCACTAGTTAAATTCCCAGGAATAAAAAGTGGCCCTACGATATGACTACCTAATATGCCACACCAGACATTAATTTTTTGAGAGTACTGGGTATGGATCTCTTGGATCAAGTGTGGGTTACTGTCATCCCAGTAACGGCAATTATGCCTATTCACAGCTCCATTCAAAAAAATATACTCTCATCGGAAAAGCACGTGTTGAATGATAGGTGCGGATCATCAATTAGTAGCTGGCTCAGTTGTTCACAAAATTGCAGCCTTCTATCAGGATCATCTTCATTGAGTTCCTGTACTAATTTAATTTTGTACGGATGAAATTTATAGGCTTTTAATATCCGTATTATGGACGAACGGGAGACACCTGAGGCTGCAGCAAACAGACGGGTACTTTGAGTATGATCCAATTCAACATGTCCCAAAACAGTGACTTCCACTGCTTCATTTCTGATCGGTTTCCGTGGCTGGTGTTTCACATTACAGACAGATCCGGTATCGACAAACTTTTGGACTAACTTGGCAACGTACGAATCATTCACATTTTTTCCGGGATGACTGTTATTAAAGAGGCGAGGCACAACTATTATGTTGGTAATGAAGTTTAACAATTTCAACTCGTTCAGGAATGGAATAAACCAGTTTTACAGTAAAGTTGAAATAATTTTAAAAGCAACCGAACTGAATCAATGAACGTTTGCCTAAATTATTTTTGTGCACTTATCTGCTGTTGTTATTTGAACCAAAAAACGCACGAGAGAAATTGAGGAATGTAGTAGTGATAAAAATGCCGTTTTTTCCGCATTTTCACTAACACCAAAAATATCGAGTAAATGTTCTTGCTTTTTTTATAACTATTCAAGTAAATACAACAAATTAGGTATCATTGGAAAGAGAGTTTTGTGCCCTTTCAAATGATATATCACTCGACCCCACTTTCCATTTGAAATTTTAGGGTTGATACTCACCCTCGCTAGGGGGTTGAAGGCACAGGTAGAAAAATACATCTAAAATGTGTCCCCCTCAAAAGAAAAATTGACCTGTCCAAGCATTTTTGCGTTAAGTTACAATAAAAGGAGAAAAGCAAGGTGCATACTTTTCGTTGGACCATTCGATATGTGTTAATTCGATGATTCTCACGGACAAAGTATGATGAGCTGTTTTTTGGGTTTTGATCCGTGTTCTGTGTATTTTATCCTCATTAGGATTATTTTCACAACGTTTCAGCAAAGTCCAATTTGCCATCTTCTGGTGATGCCTGGAGTTTTACAACTAGACTAATTCATTCGAACTCTGTGGTGTCTTAATTTATAGGGATGGATGTTCCCATTTACCCGGGTCGCTGCTGTGTTTGCTCGATTACCTGTTTTGGCCCCATTATCTGAGCTGCTTCTCCTGCATCTGTTATTCTACCTGTATTGTAATGTTCTGAGATTTGCTTCTGGGGTTGAGCAATCTGTTTGCTTTTGTAAAGCGAGAAAACGGATCTTCATGTTGTTGATTTTCTTTGCACATCATCCCTCTGGTTCATATAACTATGTCGTTTTTCAATTTTGATAGCCTCTCTGACTGTTACACTAGAAATTTCTATTGCTTGCTAGTATTTTTGTGTTCTCGAAATTGATGTTGAGTCCTGTCGTCAATAGGTGTTGGAAGAGAGAAGACGTGGTTACTTTTCCCTTCACTGCTAGTTTGTGGTCATCTTTGCATATTTGATTCGCCTATTGGTTTGGCCGACAGTCTTGTCACAGTCTTGACATGGTAAGGTTGGGTTAGGTCCTGCAAGGGTTTATTGTGGCTCACACTTATTCACTCTCGACCAAATAAACTCAGCTTCTTAACGAAGTTGATTAGTTTGTATGGTGATTGGTCTTACAGGTCAGATGGTAAGAGTACGGCTCTGACAAACTTTAAAAACCTGATTTGGTCCCCAGCGGGGTTTATTCCTCCACCTGAGACAGATTTTGGCGGTTTCATAAGGTACCCTGCTCTTGTGGAGACGACTCAGTCGTTTTCTAGCTGCACCACCAAACCTTTTATTTAGGTTCAGTTATAGGATCAGGACTTGGAGAGTTGAGAAGCTCTCGCTTTTGATCTAAATTCACAGGAAGGTCACTTGGAGTCGTAAGCTCGACATCCATCATCTCCTCTGCAGATTCGATCCTGATCTAAATTTACAGGGAGGTCAGCGTCTCTCCATAAAAGTCCCACGAGTAGCTAGGGAAAGAAGATCAATTACGGCAGAGCTCCGCATTACCGTGACAAGAGAGGGCGCCAGGTATCTCCAAGGTTCCGTAGAGACAGCTGATAGGCTCAGTGTCATTCATCCTCTCGGCACGGATACACCCACCTTATGATAAAGCCATTTTTGGGATGTCATTCAATTAGGGAATAACAGAACCACAAGTGATTCTGTCATTTCCGTATCCAGCGGAGCTACGTGGAAGCAGGCATCCGATGGCCGGTTTGCTCAACCCCCACATCCCAAGCCAATGCACTCGCCAAAAACAGCATGCACAGTGGTTCAGGCAGTGAAAGATGAACAAGGACAGCCTACCCACCATCTTGACATGGTACTTCGTACACTCCTTAGGACTTCAGTGGTATCTGAACATTTGGATCATGGAGCATGGGCGCATTGTCCAATACCACTTTCGTAAAACGATTCGTCTATCAAAATAGGCTTCAGTTTCAGCAATTACCTCTTCATTTGAGCAAAATTTCTCACCGGTGAACATTTATTTGAAGGTCTGCGAACAGCCAGTAGTTGCTGGGAGCCATATCTGGCGAATACGGTGGATGTGGGAGCAATTCGAAGTTCAATTCATGTAGTTTTGCCATTGTTTTGATTGAATTGTGACATGGTACCTTGTCTTGATGAAACAAACATTTTTTCTTCGCTATGTGCGGTCGTTTATTTGTAATTTCAGACTTCAAATGCTCCAATAACACTATATAATACTCACTGTTGATGATATTTTCCTTCTCATGATAGTCGATAAATATTACACCACGCACATTCCAAATACCAAGGCCATAACCTTTCCAGCCGATTGTTGTGCTTTCGGGCCTTTTGGACGAGGTTCACCAATTGCTCTCCACTCAGATGACGACAGTTTTGATTCCGGAGTGAAGTGATGGATCCGTGTTTCATCCATTGTAACATATCGATGCAGAAATTCCGGTTTGTCATCTTGGAACATCACCAAACACTGCTCAGAATCATCAAGACGTTCTTGTTTTTGGTTAACATTGAGCTCGCGCAGCACCCACTTTGAACAGAGCTTTCTTATAGTCAAATGATCATGCAATATAAAGCCACACAATGTCAGCTAACTCACACAATTTCACTTTTTGATCATTTAAAACGATTTTGTAGATTTTTTATGGTCTTACTGCCTCATTTGAATGTCCACTGCGTTCTGCATCATCGGTGTCTCCACGACCACGTTTGAAGTCAACAAACCAACGTTTAATTGTTATTTCTGATGGAGCGAAGTCCGTATAACCCTTTTTAAGGCGTTGCTTCACTTGAACGGTTGTTTCCTATCAAGGAGCAGTGTAAAATTAAAATACAAAATTGTCTTCGATCCATTGTTTTGAAAATAACAAAAGCAGTGTCACTTTCAGCACAATAACTCACAAACTTATGAAGGACTTACTCGTGTTGCCTCGTTTCAACTGAAATGCACTGTATAATGTCAACATTATCGCAAATTCTAAATCAAGTTGATTTCACTTGTAGACTTTACTTTACATAATTCCTTTTCATCAGTGCCAATAACTTATTTTTCATTTCAGATAATTACCAGGCTTCTGGTCGCTTTGATGATTTTAAACGCATTTTCACTACCTTTTGTGGCATCTACGGAAATTGCTGTATCAGAAAACGATCACAGCGAAAACTCGAAGAAAAGGGAGGACCTCCAGGCTTTCAAAGCAGCAAGCGATAAACAAGATTTATTGAAAGTCGTGCCCAGACAAATTATGCATAATGCATCCAGTAGTTCGGCAGGAAATTATGTTGTCACAGAATCGCAGGAGGCAAAAACGAGAATAAAGAGATCGCCAAGACGACGAAAATTCAGAATCTTACCCGCTCTGTGTGGATAGTGGTTTGAAGTCTGAATTGAATATATCAATTTTATTTTTTGTTAAAAAATTATCTCGACAGGTGTGGAAACGAAGGTGTATTATTTCTTCATCATCCGTAAATAATAAATCAAACAATTTGTTTTTCATGCTAGATAATTGTTACAAAAGTTTTTTCTGTTTTTGTGAGTCTACTTTGAACTGTAATATATTAATTAATACTTCTGCCAACGTTACACAAGTCAATTAATTCCGTCAATATAAAAATTGTGTGCTCAAGATTTGATGTTGTCGACGAAGGCCTCGTTCTGATTGGCGAAAGTTCTACTGATGAGAAAGTTATCGAAGTGCTTTTCGGTATATTTCGTCGATTTCTTCACAACTGGACTCTGTTGTGATGGTTTGTACCAGTTGCAGAAAGTCATAGTGAATCGCCAGTCGGTGACCATCATACAGTAATCATGATCTTATTTGGTAGATTTTTGCCTTCACTCCTAACAATTAATGAAAAACGAAAATTGGTGACATTCCATGACCATTTTCCACAAGTATTCCGCTCCACCATGATGAAAAATAACAAGAGAAATAAAAAACAAAAGTAGCAGGATGTCTCATGAACGGTCGTTTACAATTATAAAAAGCAAAAGCTGGAAACTTGAAATGTGAATTATTCACTGCAGTGAAAAGTCACGTCATAGTTTCGAATTTCTATTTCGTGCAATGTGAAAATGTAAATGACAGCGTACGACAAGGAAATAAACTGCATCGTAACTGCATAACGCGTGTTTTATGCATTTCTACTAGATTAAATACCGACGTCGGGATTTTATGGCAAACACTGATGAAGGTCCTGGTGAAATTTAATTTAAAGAATCTAATAAATAACTCACACTACATTCATGTCGACGGTTATATTGCTCCTGAGAATTTTGTATCGCTGTGAAAAATCTAAATCTACGTGTATCTTAGTGAAGTTCACAATTCATGTTGTTGGTCAATTCTTTCTGAGCAAATTTTCAACGAGGTGTTCAGGGTAGTAACTGATAATTTTTGAAATAAATCCGTAATAAGATAAGATTTGTACTACTTTCTTCAGAAAATAAGGTGAATTTTCATTTTTCTCAAAAAATATTCATATATTGATCAATTTCCAAGCCTCGAAATAGTTCTGACATATGCATTTTTTGAATGTTCTTGAGCTCTGTCAGCGATTTAGTTTATATACTATCAGATGCCGTTGTTTCATGCATGGATCTCTCCAATATCGAAAATAGAAAATAGTCGCAAGGGCCAAATCAGGTGATTTAGGTGGCTGAGGCATTATTGCGGTGTTGTTTTTGGTCAAAAAATTACGTATTGCTTCTCGCAAGCGGCGCATAACTCCAAGATAATACTGTTTATTGACCTTACGATCATTTGGCAAGAACTCCTGATGCACTAGGTTATGGTAGTCGAATAAAACAGTTAGCAAAACTTTGACATTTTATCGAACTTGGCGTATTTTTTTCTTTTCGTCTCTCTTGGGCACTTCCATTGGGGCGATTGGGCTTAGGTTTCGATTTCATAACCATATAGTCATAATTCATCACCAGTTATGACCCTTTCAAGCAAATCTGGATCGCTGTTAACGTCATTCAACAATTCCTGAGCGATGCTCATGCGACAGTGTTTTTGTTGTTGACGTGCTGGGGCGTACATCTTCTTGACCTTTTGTGAACAACTTGTACCACTTGTGAAAATTTTTCTAACCCAGAGTACAATCACTGTATGGTACTGTCAACATTTCGAATGCTTTCGAGCACTCGATACCATTTTCTACAGAAAATTTGAAGCAATTTTTTTGATCCATTATTTTCGATAGCAGAAAATCGACAAACCCGCAAAACACTTCTAACATTTATGCCTCTCACCAACAAACTGAACACGTTAAATAGCTGAAACTGGGATCATGTGTTCGAGACGTGTATACCAACTTAAAGAAGAGAAAAAATTGCTAATCCAATGTACGTCACATTCACCTTATTTTTTTAACAGTTCTAGTACACGAAAGGAAGCTCTCACCTACAGAGTAGATCAAAAAGAGCATACGTGGCTTATGAGCAATGTCGGAGGACAGTGGGACGCGCATGGGGTCTTTCACCCCGTGTCTTCGCCTGAATCTACACTGTAATAATAAGACCTATGTTAACGTACATAGCCATTGCATGGGGACCGAAAGTTCTATAAGCAACGGTCATCCCAGAATTATATCAAATACAGCGATTGACTTGTTTAAACATCACAGGAGACGGCTCAAAAACCAAAGAGGGCTCAGGATGTGGAGTGTACGCCAGATCACTAAGTCTAATGATAGAGTAGGGAATGGGAAAAAATACCAGCGTGTTCCAAACAGAACTGGCTGGTATTTCAATCGCCACAAAAGAAATAACCAGGAAAGGAATTTCTGGTAAAAACATAACAATCTGCACTGATAGCAGACAAGCCCTATTAGCGTTTGTTTGAAGGTGATTGACAATGTTTCGTGATGAATTTCACTAGTTCGGACTTCCATTGTCTATTATATAAAATGATTTGAAATCCCTGAAACAAGTAAAAAAGAATAATTAAAAAAGAATAGTTGTTTCATTTCAGGTTTATTGTTGCTTAATATAATTGTTATTTGCAACTATTCTTTTTTAATTATTCTTTTTTACTTGTTTCAGGGATTTCAAATCATTTTATATAATAGACAATGGAAGTCCGAACTAGTGAAATTCAAGCCCTATTAGCCTTGAACTGACAAAGTGTTACCTCAGGGCTATTACTAGTACCAGCAAGATTTAGCCAAATTCTCGGTAGATAATAACATTATCCTGAGGTAGGTTAAAGGACACGACAGGAGTAAAGGTATTCGCATTGCCGACTCTTTAGCCAAGGAAGCGGCTGGACTGAGAATTTTAGGACCAGTGGCACCTACGGCCTGATGACTTCGACAATTGTGGGACTAGCCAAATGTTACACTCTTGCCAAATCCCTAAAGAGATGGAATGGAATCAAAGGATGCAATCTTGCCAGGATCACCTTAGGTGATCCTGGAAAGCTGGCGCCGAAGAAATATCTGCCGATGACTAGGAAAAATTTACGCTCAACAGTAGGATTTCTGACTGGCCACTGTCAACTAAGGAAACACGTCCATAATATTGGGCTAGTGGACACATCTCTATGCAGGAACAGGAAGATGAGACTATCAGGCATGTCCTATGCGAGTGCCCGGAGTTATCGTCAATAAGAGAGTGTGTGTTCGGCGAGTCTTGGCCTACACCTGCTGATATTGAGGATATGTCTCCCAATGACCTGACCATCTTCCTGGAAAGGACAGGGTGGACGATAACCTAGGAGGACAACTTCTTGGAAGGATGTAGAATGGGCCACATGTGGCCTAAGTGCCGTGGGCTTACTCACCCTCCCTACTCTACAGATACACATACATGAAATATGCCTAAGAGGTACTTGAGAACTGAAACACCCATTAATATATCCTGTGTCTTATTTGAAATGAAACAGTTGGTATTATCCACTGTTATATTATACACCTAGTATTGAAAAATTCTGTAGAAAAATGCGTAACCAAAAATATCAGTTGACGTGTCTAATGCTTTCGTTGTCTTATTTGGTTGGCATGGAAAGCTAGATGGTAAATCCGGAAAATAGTGGTGAAGCAATTTCAAAAAACTTTAAATTTAAAATTTTTTTTTTTAATATTTCAACAAAAGAGTCGTTTTTATTAAATTTTGATCAACTTCTGATGGCTGCAACCCGAAATATGTTTTTAACTTTTTACATAAGAAATAGCGGATTCAATGAACTATACTTTCATTACGGATATCAGATTTCTCATTCCAGAAAAAGTCGAATAGCGTTACATGCAATGATTTCATTGTCATCCGCTATATGAAAATGAGTACATTTTTTTCCTGCATAACGTTTAACCAATCAAGTTACAATCACCAGGTGATTATGAACGTTACATAGTCGAAGCAGCTCTGCTAGACAAAAGTAATATTATTCATAGTTCCTGTATGTAGCACAAATGGATTTTATCAGATTCATTCTATACAAAACTTCTCCCTGCTGAATGAGAAAAAAATATTTTAATAGTTTGATTCTATTTCTCGTAAATTCCCTTTAGAATGAAAGTTTCCCATCAAATATTACTGGTTCGGTCAAAAGTTCTGTAATATCATCAAAACTACATTGTTTGCGCAACCTGCATATCAGATTAAATGATAGGGAGTTTCGAAGCTATCGAAATAAATAACCTCATTGTGTACAGAACGAACAAACTATAATAACTGATCAAGCTAAATCTTAACCCCTGCAAACAAAATTGGAGTAGCGCAGGGTTCGATACTGGGACTTCTAATATTTATATTTTTTGTCAGTGATATTGACCATATTTGCAAAGTTTTCACATCGAATCATACTTATATTATAATATCAGATGATCAACTCGGAGAAATTGAAGAGAACAGCAATATAGCATTCAGCATCTACATATTGAAGGAAAATCAATCGAAAGAATATAATCCTATATAATCATATTATATCATCACATAATCTCAGTTTAGCAGATCCGTCATTTTCAAAATTGAGTACCCATTGTTTTATACTTGGAAATATTAGAGAAACAATATGTTTATGTACCATGCACTCGTTCAATCGAAATTACAATATGTCTCAACTTTCTGGAAGGTTGCTCAGAGAAAAGTTATCAGAGTAATGGATACAATAAATCAAAATTCAATGTTAGCTATTCTTTACTATTTAGGATTATCGAGTGAAGTACTACCACTTCTGCGCTCATATCTCTGGGAAAGGCAACAGAGAGTGAAAATTAATGATAAACATTCTCAATACCTCACCTTATAGTCTGGAGTACCCCAGGGATCCATCCTTGAACCTTCATTGTTTACAATGTATACTTCTGATGGTTATCTATAAGTAGATGGTACATAATTGTTTTACATTTTTTCACCAGCTACAGTAACTAATGCATATTAGTAATTTAAAAACATTTGTACAAGTTGCAACTAACAATTGCCTCAACATCAATTCCGGTAACTCAAATGTTATGTTCATGTCGAGAAATGGCAGTAGAATTGTCAATAACATGGTCATTGAAATTAACGATAAAATATTTGAAACAGTGGAGGTGGCAAAAAAGCCTGAGTTCCATCCTTATTCAATTATGCAGACATCTCA